CTTCTGGGAGTGGAGAGCTGATGGGACGCTGACAATTAAACGCTGGTCCTCCACAGGAACCTCTGACGTCTCTGAAGAGCTGAGAGTAGTTAAACAAGTCTGAGAATGAATATGATTTGTATATCTTTCATTTAAGGGTTATAGCATACAGAGTATGTAAAGTGACACACAGAGAAGTCAAATATTTTACACCTTTTGGGGTTATCTGCAGAGGAGCGATATCGGCCCAGTACCAGCACTTCATAAGGCTTCTTATGATGTGAATCTAGTGGAAACACAAACTGTCCAGATGTGGTGACCTGAGGGAAAAGAGCAAGCCCTTAAAACATCAGGAATAACACTAAAAAGGTCAGACTTTAATGACTGAGAGCTGTATCTATTCAAAGTTTATGTACCTTGACCCAGAACCATTCAGCCACAACTTCTACCCCCCAGTGCGGATACAGCTCATCACGGACGAAACGCAGGTGGCTCGGCCGGTTTGTGACCCAGGTGACCACTAAACAATTTGGAGACGCCAGTAGAGGTATAGGAAGCCGTTTCAGCTGGGTTGAGGGCAAAGAACTGTATCTTCATAGACACAACAGATGAAGAAAATGTAAGGATATGTAAATGCTCCATTTTACGTTTCTCTACTTCACTATGGCTCTTAAAAAGGTCCCTATACTGCTTCATACAAGTAATAATATGTAAAATGTATACTGTTAATGTATAAAACATTTTTGCACATATATATTTACACTAATATATGAATATGGTCTAAGAAAGTGAATATCCAAGAGGGATTTTCTCCAGCGTCACCATGAGGTTGACATTTCTGGCTCAGAGTGAATTATCTTGACAACTATTGGATGGATTGCTAGGAAATTTGATAAAGATATTCAAGGGCCCAAGAAGAACTCTGGTGATTCCTTGACTTCTCCTCTAGCGCCACCAACAGGTTACATTTTTCAATAGTTTAGTGAAATATCTCAAAATCTACTGGATGGATTGGCACAATATTTTGCAGACATCCATTGTTCCCATTGTGACTTCAGTAAACCTTTGATTTTTACTCTAGCGCCACCTTGAGGTTGACATTTGTGATTTTGAGTGAAACGTCTTAACAACTACTGGATGGTTTGCCATGAGTTTTGATACAGATGTCGATGCCCCCCCTCAGTATGATTTCTGAAATATCTTTAAATAACTGAACTTTTCATCTAGCGCCATCATCAGGTCAAACTTTAAATGTGTCCAATAATTTAGTTTATGACCAAATAGTGTAAAACACTGTATCACTGACCTCTTCAGGTCTCGGGTCTATTAAAAGAGGTACATAGCTTCATTTTGGGGTAATGAGCCACTGGTATGAGTCATTGTAATTTATATAATGTATGTAGCTTTGGAATTGAACTACTTTATCTGTTTTCTCCTCCAACCATTTGAGCCTGTTTCTTATGCTGTTGTAACATGTAAATTTAATCCACAGAGACAAATAAAGTCTTATCTTACACCTTCTAAAATGCTTGAATGCCAAATTACCTGCGACTCCTTTTCACAGACTTGTTTTCCCACGGCGGATCCATGACTATTAAGTCAAACGTTCTTCCATCTGTGTGAGAGACAAGCAGCTTTAACAAACAACGTCAGAACTATGCTCTCACAGGAGACACACACTGAGTCACACCAGAAGTATTTTACAATGAAACATTCAGGGAGGGGTGGTCGTATTTATGCCACAACAACTTTACAGCTTTTATCTTCAAGCAAAATAAGTTACCACAATCATGCAGTGAATGCAACTGTACGGCATTTCGTCAAATCTGTTCCAGATGGCCTGAAGAATATTCTCTCAGTTAGCTGCCATTCATACTCTACTCTTCCTAAGAATGTACTCACAGTGAACTAGAGGTTGTATTCTTGTAAAATCTGAGAGCAGGAAGGCTGTGTGTGGTGGTATGACATATTCCTCTCCCATCAGTGTAACCACTGTAGCCCGGTCCGACCTGCTCTCTGTTACCCGAGAGAACAAGTCAACATGTGATGTGCAGCCATCTTCAGCAACAAGTAGCTGGACGCACTCCTCCTGCTCCTCCTCGTCCACTAGAGGAAGCTCTTTAGCCATTTCACAAAGAGCGGCAAGGCTGCACTCCTGGTCAGGAAGAGGCTCTTTCACGGCGTCTGTCTCTCCATTTAGGTATCCGAGGGATCGGGCAGAATCCACCAAGGAGTTGGTTCCCTCTAGGATCACAGACCTGATCTGCATCAACACACGTTGTAGAGATTATTTAGTATGAGAGGTTTCCCAAACTGAACATATGAGGATCTAAGTTTTGTGCTGGCAGAGAATGTATTTGAAAATGCATGCACTGATAAACTTAGTATATTCACTCAGGTATTGTACTTAAGTAAATATACTTCAGTCATTTGTATGCTACTTTACAGAGGCAAATATTGTTCTTTACAGTTATAAATTACTTTTCAGATTCAGTTCATTAAGACTTCATCATGATTATTATAAAGTGCACACTGATGCATTAGTAATTCTAATCAAATATTATTCTGAAATGAGTCAGTCTGCATAGTGAGTACTTTTACTTTTAAGTACTTTAAGTATATTTTGATGCAAATACTTAAATGCTGTACTTTTACTTACAACTGTACTCCACCAATTTGGCATTTTATTCCTACGATATTGTCGGACAAAGAAAAGTATCAAAACTGATGGAGCAGAATCAGAAATATTGTATTTTTTTTATTTGTCGTGGAAATTCTTCCCTAAATTGAGAGTTGCTAATTCCCTGAAGAAGTTTCAAGCCGGTGTGATAATCAAGACACTTTAATACATGCAGCATGGAGAGAAGACTTCCAAAATGCTCTCCCTTATATACATCTCAGTACATCGTAAAACAGTAAACACCCTTGTCTGTCTAGTTTATGTTATTAATGAAAAAGTCCAGGTCACTCCCACAAATAGTTTTGAGAGACCTTTGAGTAAGACCTACTCCTGACCTTAGTCTGAATATAAAACACAACCCCCCAAAGGCTTTATACAACATATGCAGTAGTACCCCCTTAAAGCTGACTTTGATGTGTAAAATTTGTAGTGTTACCCTTTAAATAAAACTTTAAACTGACTTTTACTTCTTGCACACCGATGCTCAGACTGAAAGCCTTCGTTCATGGATCTGCATTAAACTAGATCTGAAATAAAAGTGATTGTGATTATTCTGGAATTGGACATTTAACTGCAACTTTAAGTTTGATTTTCCCCAAGTCAAGTTGTTCTCTCGGTGAAACATTAATTAGTATCATCTCTGCCGGCACAAATCTCATTCTGAAAGACGATACATGCAGCTAAGACTTAAACTGAGAGAATGGGATTCAACTTACCTTCTCGTGGAAGACCTGTGAATCCACTTCCCCCTGGTTGAGTTCACTGTGTTTTCGTTTCCTTTTCTGAAAGTCAAATTGATACTGAATGAGACACAACAAACACGCAATAAAAGTACAACCAAATTCATTATCGGACCAGCTTAATAGCTTTATATTAGTCTATTATACCTGTTTATAAATTAAAATTAAACAATACTGCAATATGGAAACCAGCTGAATGCTTATGCACTGTTTTATAAAGCCTGACCGACCTATCACAGACATACTGGTTTCATTTCAGTGTATCTGTTATGAAATATACAAACAACAGTATACTATAAGAAGAAGCTTGTGTAAACACACTGGTGTCACTGCACAGTTTCTCCAGCAGAGTGCAGTGTGTGATTTACAACACTGTGGCAAGAAAGAGAGAAGCAGCTCTCAGCAACCTCAGCCTTAGTTATTATATTATTTCTTGCTTAGAGAATAAAATAATAGTTTGTGTTGCAGTAAATAGGTATAATGTATGTAATTACACTGCATTCGGGGTGTCTAAATACAGACTCCAGGACCAGCTTTTGTCACAAGAGTGCCCAATTTTCTTTCACTTGAAGGGACAAAACTGAAACTTTATTGTTTTATTGTATCATTAAGATGCAAAATGTTACCTTAACTGACTTTGACCCTGAACTGAACTTCTATTTATATGTTTTTTCTTTAATCCAGAGATTCCCTGGCCTACAAATCTTGTGAATATCTGCAAGAAAACATTTTTGTATAGTTTGTTACAAACCCAATAAAATACCAAATCAACAGATTGTTGTTGTTGTTTTTTTTGGATGAAACTTAAAATTGCAATTGTAGTATTTGTCAAAAATAATTGATATATCCTCAAGAATTATTTAATAATTTAACTTTACGGGGTGCCAGCTTTGATCAGCACTAACATTCAAGAGCCCCTGGAGCAGCTTTTGGAGGATTTACCTTCCCCGGTTTGTCTTTTTTCTGCAACACACCCGTGTTCCCTCCATCCGCAGCAGCACTGACACTCACATCATAATGACTCCGTAACATCTGAAAGCACTGCTTTTTAAAACGACACTTAACAACAGACTTGTGCGCATCCTTGAATCGGACGCAACGCGAGTAACCCTCATCGATGAGTGAGCGTGAATCCAGAACCCAGCCATGTCTGTCCTCAACCACCGCGGACATTGTGAAACTAATCCGCGGATCACCGGGATACGTCCCCGCCCAGCAGCCGCATCGTGTCCCGCACCGTGCGGTTGGTTTTCCCTACAAACGATACCGAAAGTAGGGAGCCGCATTGGCTGCCGGGTACGTGAACGTCGCCGCCATGTTGGGGCGGGCAAACACAGTTTCTCACCGAAATAATTTTTATAGTGACACCAAAACGTGATACGTGTATGTAACATTACGACAACACATTTAATTAATTAATAATTAATGTAAGTAACTGGAGATAGCAGCTCCCCGGTTTACTTGTACGCTTACAGGCCAGTCTTGCCCGCTCCAATATGGCGGCGACGTTGACGCGTCCCAGCAACAGGCGGCGGGCAGCGGCGAATGTATACATTTCTACGGGTATGGCCCACACGAACTTCCGTAGAAACGAAAGCGCTAGACTAATGAGTGGGCAGACGATAAAAACACACAGTGAGAGGAGGAGGCTGCTTCACATGCGACGACGGAGACATATTAACGTTATGTAGTTTATTTAACGTCCGTTAACGTCAACGTTACACCGGGGCCGGAGACGGAGACGACCGTTGACGTTAAATATTTGAAGTTAGCTCGGGGTGGCTAAAGTTGAGCTGTGGACCCGCAGAAGTTGAAAACATGCTCCACTCGGGGACCCCGCGTCTCTCCGCATCCTTCCCGCAGGAGGACAGGCACCGCAAGAGTATCTGCGTGTACGACTGCCGCTCCCCGAACCGGAGGACTGTCCCGGAGAAGTGGTTGGACACAACCGGTCTGGACTTCAACGACTTTCTGCAAGTTGTGCAAAAGGTGATGAGCTAACTTTACTTTGGTGTGTGGTTAAAAAATAAAATAAAATAGAAAGAAAGTTTAAAAAAAACGGTGCATTTAACCGAAATAATGAACACAATAACTACAAGAAGTGATTTGGATGACTTTTGAGCACTTTATTTCCTGTTTAGGGAACTTTTTATACAATTATTTGTCTCTATTATGTATTTTTTAATCATTTTTAACAATCATACAGGCTGTAATTAATGTTATAATGCTCAGTGTTAATTGATTTAACTTATATAGTCATTTAATGGTTTGCAGTGCTGTTGAATTTATATAAATGTGGTGGACAAACACTCTCACTCTCAAAACTACAGCATCCACAAGTTGAATCAACTCCTTTCTAAAGTTATTTAAACAAAAAAAATGAACATTATGATCTTAAATGAAGTTAGAATTTAATGCTGACCTGTGTATCTTTTACAATTAAACATACAGAATAATTTAAATGTATGGTTGACGAATGTGATAATTAAATAGGGATGAGATCTTTTAACTTGCAGGGGGCCACAAAGGTTTAATTTGTTGAGAGGGAGCAACCTACGATCTGACATGTTGTGGTTAGATTAACATTAGTACATATATTTATTCCAGTACTAACGGCAGCTTATACCTTGGCTACATCAATCAAATATTCTCTAACTGAAACTCATTATGTTCAGTTTTTATTGAAACCTGTGTCCTGTCGATCCTTATTACACTATAGATAAAACTAACCTGAATTAACGTTATAATCTTGATAAAGGTAGCATTTATTGCAGGGCTGTTCAGTTAAAGGGCGTTGTTTTGACTTGTTGTAGGTGTGCCTGTTTTAATAGCCTCAGAGAAACGAAAGTGAGCAGGAGGAAGGGGACAGGTGTGTTGGCGTTGTTATGAAAGTACCTCCCACTGTGTTGCACCAGTGCCGCCGCTCCCTGAGTAATTGTAACTAAGCAGAGTCCTGTTGCACAACGCTCCCTACAGAGATGGCATGTCTCAATATTTCTGGTTAACGCATCCTGACAACCGTTTTATCAGGAAAGTCATCAGTCGCTTATGATTTACCTATTACTTTCCCTTCCTACTTTTGTGCTGCCCTCTGTTTCCTCTTTTGCTGCAGCTGTAAGTTGTTTTTAAAAAAAGCAGCCCTGGTTGTCTCTGTAATTTAACTTCTCAATTAATCCATTAGTCATTTTGGCTATAAAAACGTCATAAACAGTGAAGAATAATCAGATTTCTCAGGTGATGTCATCAATTTGTCTCCAAAACTAGTAGAAATTTAGTTTACAATGATATAAAGCAGCAAATCTTTAATTGGAGAAGCTTTTTTTTTTTTGCTTCCCTAAAGCAATTAATTACTTTCAGCTCTAATAGAGAACTGGCACAAAGAGAAGTAATAATTGACTTTCAATCTTCTTCTTTTTTTAACAGGAATTTGCCATCAGATCACATGAAACGTTTGTGTTGACCACAACTGACAGGACAGTCCTGGATTATGACAAATTTGGTGAGTTAATCCGTCCGTGTTGGGGCAAAAGTAAACAATACGCAGCGATAAATCATAGATGACAATCCATAGATGTGGTTAATTTGTACTGTAAATAACTTTGTTCTGAATTTACTTCCATTACTCCTGTTTTAAATGTTGACACTTAAATCAGTTCACAACAATGTCAGACCGTTAAAATAATTGTTTTCCATTTTGTTTTTATCGCAGAGGAGCTTCAGGATCGCAGCACCGTGCACATGCTGCAACAGGAGGACCAGGCTCTGTCGGTGGCAACGAAGGAGCACATCACCTTTACGCCTCATCATAATACGTTGACTGGGAGCGGCATGTACGAGTACTACGCTAGCGAGGGCCAGAAACCATTGTGTAAGTGCTTATGTGAGCAAAGTAGCACACTTGAGATGGACAGAGACATCACTCACAACCTTTTTATGTTATTTTTTTCCAGCTTACGCACTTGCTGAGCTGGTTGACAACGCGCTGTCAGCCACAGCTAAAAACCCAGGAATGAGGACAATAGAGATACGCATGGTTTGTTCTGCAGCCGCATATAACTTATAACCTAAATATAAATATTTCAAACAGTCCATATGTTTGTTTGTCTGAATCTGTAATAGTATCTCTCTGTTTTCCAGCTGTTTGATGAAACTCTTGGGAAACCTGCAGTGATTATTTTAGATAATGGGTGCGGTATGACCTCTAAGCAGCTCAATAACTGGGCAGTGTACAGACTCTCTAAGTTCACCAGGGCGAACAACAAATTTGAAAGGTTGGTGTGCTTCAGATTAGCCGTGATTGTCCGTTGTATGCTTCTAATATTGTATCTTTTAGTTGTAATTCTAATTCTTCTTATGTCTGTTTTTATTTTATTTTTCTTTACAGTCAGGAAGAGGGATACGTTCGTCCTGATCCTGTCCCTCGTAGTCTCAACAGTGATATATCCTACTTTGGAGCTGGAGGAAAACAGGCTGTTTTCTACATCGGAGACACAACCAGGGTAAATCGGTGAACTTATTTAAGAAGCAAAGAGGAATACTAATAAGATAAGATATTCCTTTATTTATCCCCCTTAGGAGAAATTCAGGTTGACACAGCAGCAATAGGGCAAAGTAGTGCAAAACAGAGAACAAAGAATATCACAAATATATATAAAAATATAATAGAAGATATAAAATACAGCCCATTAAATCTTTTTCTGTATTTTATTGCTTCGAGATAGGGCAGGGCAATATATTTATAATATTATCATACCATAATACAAGTGTTGTCTTTACCTGGTTTTAAAGGCTGCATTACAGTAAAGTGATGTTTTTTCCTATCATGCCAGACTGTTCTAGTTGTTCTATGTTTTGCTTTTACCCACTTAGTCATTATATCCACATTACTGATGATTATCAAAAATCTCACTGTGTAAATATTTCGAGAAAGCACCAATCATCATCCCTACAGTACTGGGAGGTTCAACTTTGTTTTGCCCTTTTTGCATCTGCGTTTTAGTTTTTGGCACCCTTTGCATTGTAAATCTGGCTACGTTCAAATAAATGAGTAACATTCAAATGAATGAGTAACATTCAAATGAATGAGGAGCAGAAAATAACCATAGTTCATTTGTTTATCAGATGATCAGCAAACCAGTCAACTCCCAGGATGTTCATGAACTGGTTCTGTCAAAAGAGGAATTTGAGAGGAAAGAGAAGAACAGAGAAGAAGTTTACACCGGGACCATCATAAACAGGAAGGTAAGTGCTCTGTTTTAAAAGCCTTGTGCTTCTTAATGCAAAACAAGATGACAATTCAGATCTGTCTGTGTTAACATCTCTGCTGTGTGGCGTTTCATCCTACTCGTGCAGCCTGGTGACTCTTCACATGTGAATGGAAACGATGAGCGCTTCCTCCGTGCAATCATTGCTGAGGAATGCGGGAAAGAAAGCTTCACAGCCGTGGTCATCACAGGAATCCTACCCGAGCACATCACCTTTCTGAAACAGGATTTTGAAGTGTGGACCAGAGAGCTAGCGTAAGTTAATTAACTCAAACCATCTGATATATACTTAACATGTTAACATGCCCCAGTTTGGTTTGCTTTGATTGATCTCATGTGTTTTGTCCATATTTCAGTCACATATATCACTATTACATTCATGGAATCAATGGAAACATCTTCACAAACCCAGGCCCTCGTCCTGAAATTGACATTCAGGTGAGGCTGCCGGTTTAATTGTTGATGAGAGTGACTTCTACCCAATGCTGTATGTATTTCAGCTATTATCGTTTGTCTTTTCTCTTTTAATCAGATCACTCTGCGGGAGAAGTCCCCAAGATGTCCCCGTGCGATCAATCTTAGGGAAGTTGACGATGACATGCAGACTCTGTACATAAACTCTGCTAAAGACACGTTTGAGTTTAAGGCCTCCACTAAAGACAGTGGCATTGTGGAGGGAGTCATGCGCTATCATCCCTTCCTCTTTGACAGAGAGACTTACCCTACAGACCCCTTGGCTGTGCAAGGTATTCAAACTAACTAACTAATATTATATTATAATTAACTTTCTGACATACGATAGCTTTGGATTAAAATTGTGGATTTTTCGTTGTTTCTTTGTTTATCCAGATGCTGATGATGATGATGATGATTACGATAATGAGTCTGGAGAACTGCATCAGGCCAGAGGGAAAAGGCCAATATTTGAATGTTTCTGGAATGGACGGTGCATTCCCTACACCGCAGTGTCTGAGTAAATACACTTTTTTTCCGCTTTAACTTTAAAAGAATAGTATAAGCTTTTGTAAGAATTAGAAGGGAAAGACGAGTTTTTGCTTTTTGCTGAGAGTTTGATTAGAAAATTGATACCACTCTTATGTCTGTGCTAAGCCACCTGCCTTCTGGCTTGCTCATCATACTTAGCATGCAACGAATAATTATCACAGTGGATCAACCAGCAGGAGGCCTCAAGGAGAAGTGTTGTGGTTAATTTTTTTTACCCGAATCAATAAAAATACCAACTTAACTTAAAATGCTACCTGACTATTGTGAGAGACCACAAACTCTCACGTAAAAGGAGCCCCAATGAAGAGACGAGGACTCACAAACGACTAATTGAATCAGGCAGCTTCACTCCACCTCAGGTTTATTTGTATTAATACGGAATACAAGCAAAAAGTCTTCAGATCAACTGAACTAAAACAAGGTCACATCCATTTATACCTCCCTATTGACAATGATCTGAGGCAGTTGTTAAGACCTACCAAGGGTCGCGAGGCCTTCTTGGTTTAAAGGGGTGAAAGAAATCTTAAGAAAGATCTGGTACCTACCTACTTGATATATTGTTGTACATTATCCTTTCATTCGGCTCTAGGGTTGTAAAAAATCTAATAAAAAAGGAAAAAAAAAAAAGAAATCTTAAAAAGTAGGCCGAATTCTTCTTTCACTTCTGTGAGGAAATCTAAATGTAAATTGTTAAGTACATTATAATTAAGTTATTATCCAACAAACAAAAAACACTAAACCTATTATTCAATTCAGATCAATTTTATTGTATGCGCAATTCATAACAGAAGTTATGTCAGGACACTAAATAAGCAGGTCCCGAACTCCTTAAAAATATTGTTGAAGGAAAAAAAAAGAGAAATCTTAAAAAGGGAGAGAGGGAGAGAGAGAGAGAGAGGGAGAGAGAGAGAGAGAGAGAGAGGGAGAGAGAGAGAGAGAGAGAGAGACAGACAGACAGACAGACAGACAGACAGACAGACAGACAGACCTGACAACAGACTACTAATAGTAGTGACTATTAGTGTTGGGGGTTGTCACTCGGGTTATGCTGGCCTTTGTGGTGAGACAGCTGCATAAACATTTCTACATTCCGGGAACACATGTGGCGCTGAGCATCTCATATAACTCTCTACAAGAAAGCAACTTTAACTTCATTTATTTAAGAATTACACAGCATGCTGGTGTTCTTACATCAGCTGTACCTCTGTTACAGGTTCGACTGGTGTTCTCGGGGTAAAGGAGCAAAGTTGCCCGCAGAGTGTTACCGGCGGGTTTCAGGGGTGCTTTTCACTGACGACAGATTCCAGGTCAGCACGAAACAAGCTCACCTTCATGGACCTGGAGCTGAAACTGAAGGAGAAGGACACTATCTTCACACGTGTTGTTAATGGACAGGTTGTCATCTGAACAAACTTTTTTGATGATTAGAACAAATTTCAGTCCCATATTTGAGTTTTCCCTCATAGCACCTGTATTTGATGTGGATATATACTTTTAAGATTGTAAGCGCATAAAAAGTAACTTGCTGGTTCATTTATTGCTGATGATGTTGATTTTTATTATTGGAAGTGTCCACAGGAAGAGAACAGTTCTGCAGGTCCCTCCTTCCCTGATCAAGGTGCCCAACTATAGCAAAAACCAGAAGACAGGAAATGTTCAGTAACTGTTTGTGGTACACTACAGAGTCCAAAAGTGAGCCTATCAGTGATGTTCTGTGTATGTTGAATTTCTCTAGTGAGCGAGAGTGTAACAGAGACAAAAGATCAGTCAAAGAGAGCAGGTCCGCTACCAGATCCCTCCCCAATCAAGGTGCTTAAACACACTGAGATAAAAAGTTCAGCAGCACATGTTGCAAGTCTATGGATTCATTAAAGCTGCATTAAGCAATAGATTGGATATTAACATTGAATCAAATGACTTAGCACAATGTGAAACAGGTTGCTTGTGCAGCAGAAAAAGACTATGCAGCTCTATGAAGCTTTTAGCTCATTATATTGGCTCACTGCCTCCCCATACACAAGTGCTGACATTCAAAACAAGGCAATGAGTTATAGTAAACCAAGTAATGTTAAAGAAAATCCTACACCCAGTAAGCTAAAACCCCTGCCAGATATTTTTCTCACAAGTTGATCCAAAACAGCTAAAACTTCACTGACTATCAGATTATGAACATGACTACAATACAGTGCTCATGTTGTAAAGGGAATAATCAACCTGTAGATGACCCGTTTTTTGTTTTTTTAGTGGTCAAAAATTGCAATCTTAATGCAGCTTTAGTCCATTTGTTTTAATGATGAACTCGGGAATCTGTTGCTGTTCTGTTGCTTAACTGTTTTGTTTCTATGTCCACAGAAACAAAGAGGTAACATTCAAAAGGAGTTCACACAGTGGCTTCAAAGCTGTCACGAGAAGTGGGACAAGCAAATAAAGTTCCTGGGCTACAAGTCGACCGTAACTCGAACAGATGTGCCTACTAAGAAGATGCAGCAACCCTGGGGGACGTTTTCCTCCATCGAATGGGACGGAAAAAAGTACAAAACAGGCCAACTCGTAAGCATCTTTTGTTTTTTCTGAGTGCAAATGTGTGTGTTCTTATTATTTTGTATTCTATATTGATGCCTGCATATTTCTTCATACAGATGAGGTCTCAGAAAACGCTTCCCATTTTATATGGTACCGTGGTTCAGTTTTTCCTGTTTGGAAATTATAAAGGCGATGTCTTTGCTACAGGAGGACAGGTTGAAGTGTCTCTGGTAAGTAAGGAAATAGGGGAGTTTGTATTTGAAAAAGTGATAACAGTATGTCTGACTCAGGGAATTTCTTGCTTTCCACCCCTTCTGTCGCTTTAGCTTGCTGTCTCTGTATTATATTCATTTTAAATGGTAAGGGAGGTAAATATTTGAATTTTTGAAAGTTTTACAGACTTATTACCCAGAAAACTGCTCACTCCACAGAGTCTTCACAGCGGGTTTAGAGTTACAGGAATCTTAACCTGGAAACACTTTTCTTCTATATATGTAAGAATTAGAGTTGGGTGACCATCGTCAATAGCTGATATATTCGCCCATGTGTGTACTGCATCAGCACCTTCCACTCACCCTTAATCATCACCCCAGTACTTTCAGCTTCATGCCTCTCCTCTCCCAGCCTGTCCCTCTCCTGTCCGGGGTTGTCTCTGCTGTGTCCTCATCTTCGCTTGAGTTAAGAGTCTTGTTTGGACGTCAAACTAGTCAAAATAAACCCTTAGAATTCTAGATGTACAAAGTTGGTAGTCATTCATGAAGACTGGAGGTTGTAGTCGCTTCTCGTATTGTGTCTACAAATCACTGGTCTATGTACTATGTGTATATACTGTAGGTGGTCTGTGAATTCAATTTACAGATTTTATTTTTTAACGTTCACTGTGTCATCAAGTTTTTTAAAATTAAGTCTGAATGAAGAAATGACACATTCACACATACAAATGTTTTTAGACAATATACAAACTTTTACTTTATACATTTTATATGTATTTAGCATGAAATTGATTAACAAATCTGTTTCTTAGGAACCCAGAGCACTTCATGGCAAGACAAAGATCATACCAATTTCCAAGATTGACAAGACTGCTACTGATGAAGCCATCAAGAAAAACATTGAGATTGCCTCTGCCAAGTGAGTATCTAATCTCGACTTTACAATGTATAACACAAGGCAAGAGCAACATATACTTGAGACTTATAGGAGACTTTTACAGCTCAAGTATATTTACTTTGTTCCAGACTTCCGGAGAAACTGAAAGTGCACTGGCCAGATAGCAACCCTTGGCCACAGAACGCCGTTCGTCCGGCTGGGACTCTGTTGGGTAAAAACTGCATTGTTTTGCCACCATACTGATTAACATATCAGATATCACACGTAACATATCATTTTTCATGGAGGCCAAATTTTACAGGGTATGTTTTGTGTTTTTACTTTCACATCATTTCAGGACCAGTTAAAGTCGAAATTCTAAACAGGAACGGAGATTCGTTATCCAGGATGCCATCAGTGGGCCAGGGACAAGGGAAAAAACTGGTGGTTCAACTCAAAATCGTCCAACACGGTGAGAAAAAATAAACAGTTAAATCAGATGGTTTGATTTGTTAAAATGCAATGCTGTTATTGTACTTTAAGATAAAACTATGAACGGTAAAAAGGCAACTAATTAGCAGAGATTCACTTTTACCATCAGGGAAATGCAACTTTAAATATTTCTTTCTACCATTTCTAGCAAAGGCATTTTAAGGAAGCTACAAAAACTGCTCAAATAATTATGTACTCAATGTTAAAAACACAATGAAGTAGTCATTTTCAGAGAATTGAGAACAACATCACTAAAGTGGTGCATCAAAATCCACAAAATAGAAACACCTTCATACCCTTTTTTTTATTTTAAATTTATAATCTATTGTCTTATCTTACTGTTCCTACAGACTATCTTTGTTTTAGAGCCGCCACCGATAATTACCATAATTATTACTATATTGATTTTTATTCTTTGTACAAGTTCAAATTGCTATTTCAGTCTGCAATATTTAGTTTACTGTAACAGAAAACAAACAAAGAAGCAAATCCTCACGTTTGAAAAGTTGGAACTAGAGAATTTGGGGAAATTTTTTTAATCTCCACTTTGTTCTAGGACTTCAGCTTCTTGGTGTACAGTTTGTAACAATGTTTTTTTCCTCTAAATGTTGTAATGAACTCTATTCTCCTTTCATACATAGGGGCTAAAGCAGACAAGGAGGTTGTCTCTTTTACTGCCGAACATTTAGTGAAGTATTCTGGATTCTGGTTCAAAAAAATTGGTAAATTTCTTTCTATTTGTTAGTTTTAGACGCCCTGATTTTCTACTGAAAGATTATGTATCAATTTTGCAAACATCTCATCTTTGACAGAGATTCTGCGTGACCTGGGGGAGTATACGCTGTCTCTGCACACTATGATATCTGAAAGTAGTTCTACCGTCTTTGGAGGCACCGAGCTTCCAAGTTACAAACTCAATTTCACCATCAAAGGTGAAGAAAACAAAAAAAAAAAAAAATTTGACTGTCAAATTTGTAATCCTTCCTGAATACCTTAATTACACACTTGTGCTGTTTTTATCCTCCTCAGAGGGAAGTGCTGTGAGTTTCGTTATCGGTTCAGTGAGCCCCAGCCTCAGTGTAGGAGTGCCATTTGACATCCCTCTGCTGATTAAAGATGGTTATGGCCACCCAGCGATGCCTCCTCCTAATCTCACACCTTTACTCCAGTGCAGGTGGGTCACTCCACTTCATTTGTAAAACCTTTATCGTTGTCCAAAAATATTTTCTTATTGCTTTAAATGCTGTTTTGATGTAACAGCAGCAAGTTTATGTGGCAAATTTGTAGCCCTGAGTGTAGCATGTATCTTTGGCTAGCTACAACATGAAACGTTTTTTATTATTTGGATTTATTTTATTTAGTGGCCTGGAGCTGAGTTACGAGAAAGTGGACAGCAGTGGGACCACGTTCACCATCAAAAGTGTCAAAGCAAGAGGAAAAATCCTGACTCACCAAAAATCAAAGGTTAGTTTAACTGTACAGTATGTCTAATTGTGTCATTATAATTTATATTTATATTATATTTTGTATTTATATTTGACACAAACATGAGCAACACCTCGGTGATCCTCTGTTATTTTTTTCCATTGGGTATTTTGTTTTTCAGCCATACGACTTGAAAGTGACCCTGCCTGGCATGAAAGGAGATACACAGAGTCACAGCATTGTTGTTCTTCCTGGTAAGACTGCATTTATTCATTCATTTATCGCAATTAGTGAGCTCATATCAGAAGTACAGAATGACCTTTCAGTAACCTTGATTGATGCTTGTGCTATTGTTCTGACCTTTATTACACTAAATTCAACTTTCCAATTACTTGCTTACTTTATAATTGTTAATAATTGATAAACAGTCTGGGAGAACCACTGATGTAAAAATTAATCCTGAAAAAAAAAAAATACCTCAACTGCATCATAATGTTTTTCAGGTAATCCGCACTCCCTCCATGTGACCCCAGAAGACAACCCGATGACGGTAGAGAACGGAAACCCTGTCAGATTTAATGTTGAAATTCACGATGAGGCTGGAAACATCACCGCTCACACCAAACAGATAGTTCGCTGTGAGGTATGGATGTGCAGTTGCTGGGAAGTCATCAGATATCTGTGTGAAAACTCGCACAACTAACTCTAATAGAAGCATTTTGACCACGTTGGACTAAGGCAGCGATATCTGTAGCATCTGTCGACTTCACACACAAACCTTGTCGTAAAACAAACCTGACACTCTGAAAATGCGATGCCTGATTTAACAGCAGAATTTCAATGAATCTAGTTCAGCGACTGTCTCGTGGGAATTTTAGTGTTCTTGCATAACAGTTCATCCTGTTTACCAGCTAAAGAAAAACCCCCAGTGGCAACCATTAAATTAAGTCTTAGTCATCGTCTTACTGGAAGAAAAAACCAGAGGGCTTGTCCCTGCCAGAGACAAAATACACTTGTGGTCAGAATTGCTGTTATTGGGGTTTAAATCTCACAACTTAAAAGAAATAATCAATAACTAAAGGCACTTTGTTTTGACTTGTTTTTGTAACATACATTTGGTTTAATTTACTAAAATTATTAGCATTTCTTTCAGAAACCTCAAGACTCGTCTCTGCTGTTGATTAATATGTTTTTGCCTTGAGTCCTTTTTTCCTTCTATGTAATAAAATGTGTTTACGGTAGTGCACTCATCTTTCTGGGCCTACTCTTTCAACTCTCCTTCTTTCCTTTTAATTTAATAACATAATCCAAATGACCATGAATAACTGGTTTGCACTGGTTGACTTATACTCATCTTTTGTATTTTGTGAATTACAGGTTGAGGGGCTTCCACTGGTGTCAACTGACTGCAGTAGCACAGGAGCTGGACAGCTTGTGACGAAGCCCATAAAACTGAAAATAATCAAACAAGAGCCACAGACGCTCAGAGTTAAATTTGAGATGCCTGTAAGTAAAAACAAACAAAGCCGTATCTTATCTGGATCAAACATATATCACAATGTCTCATCTCTTCTTCGTTTTCCCATAAGAGTAAGAAGAATGTTGCGTCGGTTGTGAGGGAGCTGAAGGTGGTCCCCAGCACAAGGGTCTTCTCCATTGAGCTCTGCAGTCAGGACGATGAGAATCTGGTGCTGCGGAACGAGGAAAAGATTGAATGGCTTGCTGGAGGCTTGATGGAGAACCTGTTCTATAGGCTGTACGATGAGGCTGGTAGAGAGGTACCTCTCACCACTGAAATTGCCTCCAAGATCAAGGTGTGCTTGGCATATATAATGCATTGTCTTTTTTTGTTTACTGTATCCTATTCTATTAAGAAGATGTGGTTTTGCAAATGTCAGAGCCATTTTTCTCATCTGGAAAGATTCAAGTGGTTTGGGTGTGTGATAATAAATAAAACAAACCACTTTGCTGCAATAAACTTTCATCATTCAGGAGTGTATTTGAACTCATCCCAGTTCTTTGCCGACTTTTCTTTGTTAACTCTGGCTTTGTTTAAGGTTAACTGGACAGGAGATGTAAATCTGGAAGATTTGATCCAGGGGAAGCTGCCTGATGTACAGGTGCCCACGCAGGTGCACGAAGTGCGCTTCTACCAGGTGTCCTACCAAGACCAGAGTGTGTCCGTGTCCTTTAACATAGTGTAAGCCACATACCTGACTCAAAGCTGTGATTCAGCGTTTGCAAGCTTAAAGTTATAGTTTAGTTCTCATATTTTGGGAAATATTATTTATTATTTAGCCTGGCTCTGTCAGAAGATAAAGAAAAAAAGAATTGCCAACTAGCACATCTAAAGCTCACAATTTTCCTTTGATATCGTACGTTTCAAACATTCTTGCGTGTTGTTTTTGTAGACCTCGTCCGGATGAACCAACACGGCTGAAAGCGACTCTGCTCCAAAGCAAAGTGATGCTGGGTGAAACCCTACCGGAAGTCAGTGAGTATGAACCTAATCACCTAGGAATCTTATTTTTGAGGCTATGCTTGTTTCACTTGATGACACACCTCTTTTTCATATACAGCCCTGGAGCTTGTGGACCAGTATGACAATGTAACCAAGACCCTTACTCCTGCCTGTGTGAACCATATGAGTGTGGACGCTGATGGTCTGGTCAAGTCAGCCGTCTTTACATGGCAGGTAGGGAAATTATAGTATTCCAAGTGTTTTGTTTACAGTTGTGTGTCCAGATGTCCTGTGGATTTATTTTCATATGTAACAATGTGTAGGATGAGGCTTAGTTCCCATTACGACACCTTGATCTCCTCACCTCTATCTCGCCACCTCCACACCATGAAACAGGCCAAGCACATGATATATGGATGACAGAGTTAGGCAAGCAAGGTAATAAAACTTGGCTTACACTGATAAGGAGCAGCTATTCCTTCATTCCTTCTCTGCTTGGACAGCATCAGACACATTCCTGACCGAGGGAAGTGTCTTTGTAGTGCTAAGAACTGGAAGATCATTGATTTATTGCCTGAAATTTCCATCCCATATAAATTTACAGGCAGTGCAAGGACTTTGATGTTGAATGCCAGAAGATGAGCGCGTAGTGATATACCATTGTAGGATCTACAGCAGCAAATATTATCACTTTGTGGCTGATTGAATTTATTTATTTGTTTTAAATTTGTACACTAAATAGTGTACTGTACAATTTTGAGGTAATTTTACTTCTTAAGTAAATCTTGCTGCTCATACTTTCAGTGAAATGAAATTATAATTTAATTTTACTTTTTGAAGTTTTGAATTTGTGCCCTTTATATGTGACAACGTATTAAAATGTCTTACCAATTATTTTACTTAAATAAAGGACTCCTTTCATAAGTGTGTAGATGATTAATTGATCCTCACTCTTTGTGTTGACATCAGAAAAGCAGCGATTCTGTTCTTGTAACGGGGGTTCAGTTCCAGTCCGGGACTCCTGGCTCCAGAGAGATCTGCTTCACTTACAGGAGCTATGTGGAGCGAGTCAAAGTTGACGTGAACGCTGGAGTCCCTGCACAGCTTAAACTAGTCAGTGAGCCAGAGAAGGTAAGACAGCATTTTTACTGTGGCGTCCTGATTGGCTCATCTCTCCTCTTTCTCCCCTCACTTCCTGTCTCTTCTCTTCTATATGTTCTCAAAATAAAAGCATAAATTCTGTTCAGAGAAAGGCTGGTGATGCTCTTTGCTCACAGTTGTTTTATATTGTTAATATTCAGCAATGTATATATATATTTTTTTTTTTTTCATCTGTAAGCCTTTGCGGGTGTTGAATGACCACGGCATCCCCACACCGTTCCTCGTCCAACTGTGTGACAAGTGGGGAAACCCCTCTCCAGACCAGAGGGTTGTGGTAGAACTGAAGTCTTCACCCCCGACACTGAAGGTTTGACTCTAACCACCCTGTTCCATTTACACTGTAATGTAATAAGTCAGTAATGGCCAGGAGCTAACGTGTTGTACAAAATGATCTCACAGGAGAAATATAATGAAATCGTCTTGTTGTTTTAGGTGACGACAGCTGCAATTTCAAAACCTGTGAACGCAGAAGGGAAAGCCTCTTTCACTGTCACTAGTGTGAGCGGACCAAAGTGAGTGGCACTCTATCAATAAAATCATCATAATGCAATAATATTCCCACTTAAGGGATTTTATTGTCAGAGGTCCACATTTCCAATTCTGTCCCAGCCATCACTAGTGAGAGTGTTGTTTCCCTGTTCTTCCACTAGGGGGTACTATCAGCTGGAGTTTAAGGGGTCCTTGAACATGAAACCCATCCCTGGTCCATCAGTGATTCTCACTGTCATCCCTGATCCCAACAAACCTGTCAGCCTGTCAGTGGTGTATGACACCAGTGCCAGGTTTCCTGCCGGAGACAAATTCCCAGGTTTGCATCTCTATTTTTTTCTCTTGTTTGTGGAGCTCTTGGAAAACTTAGTTGGAAAACTAAAGGCAACTGTGTGTCTGTTCAGCGTTCTCTGTAACCGTGGTGTCCGATGAAGGAAGCCCTATAACAACTTTCAACCCTGCTGCGGTGACCATGTTTCTGTGGAAGGGAGGACCAGTGGTAGAAAGTCCTCCACAAACAGTGAGTGACTAACAGACAGACAGACGGACGGCCGCTGGTTTTCATTTGCTTTTTTAAAAAAAATACCTAACATCTTATTTGTTTAGTTACAAACTTCTCCTTCTCTTGTCTAGGCTACTGAGCTGAAGTGTAGTAAACCCATGGAGAATGAGAACAATCACTGTTTTCACTTCAGGTAAAAGGCTTTTACATCCTGTCTGATTCAGTTGTTGAAGGATGTTTAAAGGAATAGTTTGACATTTTGGGAAGTACGCTTATTCGCTTTGTTATTGAGAGTTAGGTGAGAAGATTGATACCACTGTCCTGTATGTGGCGTAATTCAGAAGTTACTGCAAACAGCCAGTTAACCTAACTTAGTAAAAGACTGGAAACAGTTCTCCTGGCTTTGTCCAACGGTAACAAACCAGCAGACTCCAGGAAGTTACTGCTCCCAGCCAAGAGATGGTACGACACATAACCCTCTATAAAACGGCAAACTGTTGACATTTTAGGGTAATTATACAATAATTAACTTTAGAGATGCCGATAATCAGATTTTGTTCCCATTTCCCTCTGTTCTTAGTCTTAGCACTAAGCTAAGCTAACCGGCTGCTTACAGTAGCTTCATATTTACCGCACAGACATGTCAATGGTAGGACAGTGGTGTCCTCTGATCTACCTCTCGGTACGAAAGTACATTTTACAAAATGTCAGACTATTCCCTTTTAAGAAAAGTAAATATGGTTTTTGTTTTCTTTCTCTGCAGAGATAAAGAGATCCCAGAAGATGCTGGAAAGCACATCATCCAGTTTTCTCTTCGTGTAAACAAAACAAAAGTCCTGTTCAGTGATCAGGTTGGTAGAAACATCATCACACCTTAACAAGTTCTTTCCAGACACCCAACAGTTGACCTTTTTAAAAAATACAAAGTCTATGGAGTCTCTACATTTTGTTGTCTTCCATTTCTGTCTGATAGGAAAGTGGTTGTTGGTGGTGTCGTTGCAGGGGTGGAGGTCATAATCCTGACTCACGGAGAAAAATGACTAACCTCAGCACTGTTTCCTGTCTCCTAGATTACTATAAATGTGGAGCCCAATCAACCTGTCAAACTGAGACCCGACTCTCAGCCGCCAGCCCCAGTTGTTTCCTACAGTAAGGATATTGCCCGCCGAACCTTGGTGGAGAATATGACTCTGAGGATAATGGTGAGCTCATTGTAAAAGAGCAGAAACAGCCTAAGATTCCAGTTAGATATGTGAGTTTTTAAAGGCGTAGTTTTGATGTTTATCAGCTGATACTCAGCCTGACTGCCTTGAATGATTCCAGGATTTACATGGAAACCCAACGGGGCAGGACCTGAATGGGAAGGTGAAGGTTTCTATAACAACTTCTAGTGGAGACAACAACAACAACAACAACAAACTCCCTCTGTTTGAAGGCAGTGTCAACAGCTTTCAGTTTAGCTTGGTAGAAGGAAAAGCCCACATCAGTGTGAGTAACCATTTGTCATAGGACACACCACAACCTTTATTTTGATATGCAAGGTTCCCATGATGCACGTTACACATGATAATTGGGTATTTATTCTGCACAGAGACTGGCTGTCATGGAGAACAGCCCTGGTGAAGATGGCACTTTATACATCCTCCTCTTCAAACCTGAAGTGTCGTCGGCTTCCACATCCCTGGATCCTTTTGAGCTCATCTTCTATTTTTGCAATGGTATGATATAAGAAAAATGTATTCAGTAACACAGTGCTGCTGCTGTGCTGAGACTGAATAAGAGATCTGATGCTGACTCCATGTGATTAGATGATTATGGTTTATAACGTTATAACTAAATTAAACTCTCCATTCTTTTTTTATTTTAATTTGAAGTTTCAGGCATGTGTTAGTTTTATATTCTCAGGCTTTGAGATATATCTAAATTTCTGTCAGCACCCGAGTACAGGTGAACAAAATGTAATTTGTGTTATTTTCAGCATTAATAAATGGCATTTAAAGAGGAACTCCACATTACTTGCTGCTCAAAACTAGCTTGTGTTTCTTTGGAGTTGAAAGGTCAATCAAGCCAAATTCTTTGGTCCCTCCTCAGATATGATTTACCAGACAAAACTGAGGTGTGTTTGCAGTCTCCACAGCAAGTATAGAAAGCGAAACACTGGCTAACCTGCTTTTTTCCACACAGAATATGATGATAGTTGTCAAGAGTAATCGAGGCAATATTTCGGGGACAGGTGTTATCTAATTAAACTGGGTAAATAAAACAAATGTTCCTGTTTATCTTTTTTTTTTTTAGATGGGGAGAACCAACAGAAAATGTCCCAGCTAAACAAGAAGAAATCTGAGCTCAGTGCTGCTGTTGCTGCATATAAAAACACCTTTGATAGCTCTCGACAACTTTTTAAAATGCTGAACGGTAGGAGTTTTTTTTTTTTTTTCCTTATACAGAAAGGTTTTAAATGATAAATGCTGTTTAAACACAAGCAACTGTACAATATTGATTGATTTAAATATAATATGTGTAATGTAACTAACTCTAATTGTAAGTATTTCTTCCATACTAGATTATTACCATGATGCATGTAAAAAAGAGGCTGACCAGAGAAATGCGCTGGGACTAACAAAACCTGCATCTGTAAGATGTTAATTCTATCCACACTTTACATCTGTATATCCAGAAATTATGATCTAACCGATATATATTCATCAGGGGATGACATTTGCATATTTTGTATTCTTTGCAGATCCCAGATATTAACAGAATGCTAGAAGAGAAGTCAGCCGAAGCCAACAGAATCCTGAACATGCCCAGAAGAGTCTGCTCCATCCCTGATCACTTCAAGGGGCAGCAGGATGTTTTAGGAATGGTAATGTCACAGGAAAAAATTACTGTTCTGTTGGTGTAGTGCCTTAAAAACCTAGTGTGTAATTTCAGGAAACTGTGACGCCCATGCAGATGTGTCCAATCAATGTTTGGGCTAATTTGTGAGTTTGAGTTGGGGAAAATGTGTGTGGAGGGGGGTGCTAAAGAAAGTATTCTCACAGGCTGCACCTTGAAACTGTCACACAGTTTATGTTCCAGAGCTGTGTGCTTTGCCTTTTGATCGCAGGTTGGCCACCTGGCGTTTGTGCAGGACAGTGATGCTGCGAGGGTTATCTCCTGGCACATCAGGGGTGACATGGATTGTGTCATCACCAAAACGACAGCAGCAGCACGGAGGATTTATGACTACACCCAAGGCAGGCAGCAGGTCATGGCCCTTGACAGTGTGTATGTGCCACCAGGCGACAGGTATAACTTCTCTGTTTATGAAGAATCTTTAAGAAAATGAAGCTTGTGGCCTTTTGTGATACTAAAAAGTTCAGTTTGACAGTATTGTGTATAGTTTTCCTGATGAGATTCCAGTGCGTCTTTCATTATAGTCTTTCATTTTTAAGCCTTTTCCTACCCCTAGACTTCCAACAACAGTAATTTAAAGATCTTGTGGCACCTCCTTGTTTAACGACTATGTAACAAGGGCGCCTTCAGTGAAGTCATGCCTTCATTCATCAAACTAGATGAATCTCAATTCAAGGGAATTTATCATGTAAATCAATACACGCATTCAGACAATAAAATGTGGAACATCTGCAAATACATCTAGTCGACCTCCAGAAGGACCACAACTTATTAAATGTAAATGTAAGTTATAAGACTTCAAAATGAAAGTCTTTCATTTAAAGTACATAAAATGGTGACTATAACTATTATGATACATGAGGAGAGCAACTTCCTTCCCGCTGTTCTTTGTGGTGGTCGATTGTGTGTTGAGGATTAAAGGACCATACTACTGGTGTTGCATGTTTGAGAAAGTTCTGAGAAATCGTATTATATTTTATATACATCACAGCTAACCATTTAGCAGCTGTTAAAATTAATTTTTCGTACCGTTTACAGCAATTCTTTTTGGGATATGATGCAGCATATTGTGTTGTGTTTTAGTTAAAGTTTGCACCACCTTACTGTTTGGTCTGCAGCTAACAATTACTGTCATTATTGATTGATATGCAGATTATTTCTTTGATTAATTTACCTATTTTACCTATAAAATATCAGAAGAGTCCCATCAACAGTCTCAAACCCAAAAAATATTCAATTAATCATCATATGAGAGAAAGAAAAGCAGGAAATTAAGCCAGTTATTTTAGTTGATTGACCAATCGTTGCAACAATAATGTAACTCAGAGATGAAACAATTAGTTAAGTAATAGATTACTTGATTAAAGGAAATGAATCTCAATCTGTTCCCACTCTTCTAGTGTGAGGGTTTTCTGCTCTTCTCTGTTGTATATCATAGTAAACTGAATGTGTTTGAGTAAAAACAAGACATTTAAAGACGAGACCATGGCCTCTGGAAAACTTTGATGAGCAGATTAATTGATACTGAAATCTCTCATCTGTGGCTGTCAGTGTCTGCCTGGAATAAAAGGAAATGCACACCTAAAAATCAAACAACTCTATGGCATGAATTTGAAAACATTTTCGTTCAGTGTTCTCTTTCAGAATTACTAGTCTGGTCCTCTGTTGGTGTCAGATCATCTCTGTAGTTTCTCTGCTAACATTTGAATTGCTTACAGGCCGCTGCCACACATAAGAAATGGCCACATGCTCTTTGATCCCCCTGGGAACCCAATCTACGCCAGAACACTCCTGATTTACCCCCAGGACCAGGAGTACTGTAACACCGGTGAGCTGCCTTGAATGGATTTCCCCTGCTCTGTGTACCATTGCCTACTTGTTGTTTTTTCATTGCAGATATATAGTACGAGTCCAGGGTTTCTGTGGTTTTCTAGATTCTTCCAAGGTCTCTTTGTGTTTGCTGTTGTTGGGGTATTTCCTTCATGCCCCTGCTACTCCTGTTGAGTCTTGGGTAAATGGTTCCACCTGGGACCCAGCCTCACAGGAGGGAGAGGGGGTCTCTTTTCCCATGTTAGAATGACTTTTGATTTAAGGATTTTCATCTCAAATCTCAAATAAGCTGTTCATCCTTCAGCCTTTTCTCTATGAATTTTGACGTTTTTCAGCAGTATAAGCAGTAAAGTTATGAGTGTTAAGATTTATCCCAACAGGTCTGAGGGTTTCCTGCTTGTGCTTCTTTTTGCAGTGTTTAAAAACCTCCTTGGAGATACTATCCTGATAGACGACCTGGACTCTGCTAACAACTACAGGAAGGCGGTGGGTGATGTTTGCTTTCTGGAGGCGTGCTATAAATGAACAGGCTGGTGGTTATTTTTCTTTTTAAATGTACCTTGTTGCTTACAGGTCGTGCAGAATAAGACCCAGTGTCCCACCATCCTGACCAGGCAGGGGGACAGGATCAGTTCCAGAGGGAAGTTTGGAGGCGCACAGAACAAAGCCCCGCCGATTAACACACTGCAAGTGTTTGGAGCCCCCTGCCCACAGGAATACTACACTCTTAAGGGACAAATAGGTGACGTCTCTCACAGTCAAGTTCATTTTTGTGGTCATGTTCAGTCAGTTGTGCTTAACGTTCTCTTATTTTGTTCAACAGACCAGCTCAGTCACTACCGCTTAACTTTGCAGAAGAAGGAGAGGTCAGCGAAGGACCGTGAAGAACACTTACAGAACATGTCGTCGCCTGAAACCAAAAAAAACCAACAAGAAATGCAGGCGAAACAAAGACAGCTGGAGGAGATCGAAAGGCTACATGGTATGTTTTGTTTTTTTTTTGATGACAGAGAATATATTTCAAGCTTTTCGATTTTTATTCTTTTAGTATTGTTGATTTTCTAATTGTTCTGTATTCTACTTTTAGTGTCTACTCCAGTAAGACCAACAAAACGGGGTCCCGGGAATGCTGGCGAGCCATCCGGCATCATTCCAAAGAGAGGAAGACAGAGTTTCACATAAGAAGAGGACGACTCTGACCTGAGAGTTTGATCATGAGTCTCTTTGATTGTTTTAGTTTTTTAAGTTGTTGTTGTTATTAATTTTAATTGTACAGATTTGTTTTCTTATGTTTTAATATTTCATTTTTGTTATAATCACAATTTATGACAAGCATGATATACCTCAAAGAATGTATGTTAAAAAGAAATACATATTTACCAAGATTTATTTGCCTGTGTCTTTATTTCTACCCAAAAATAACTTAAGGGAAAATACACAACTTTTAAAAATCTTAATTTGAGGGATCTGGACAGACAGACGCTCATAGACGCACGCATTTCACGCACGGGTTAATTACTGTATCTTTTCGAAACAAACACAATCATTATCCAAATTTAAGCCTCCGGAAATAATGTAGGCCTATGACATTGTGTTTTTGGATGCAGAAGAGAGTTGGATGTGGGATTTGCTTTGTGTGTGTGCGTGTGTGAGATCTGAGAAACGGAAAAAAAAAAAAAAAAAAAAGCATCTGTCAGTATTGGAGGGGGTCCCGTAACGTCACATCCAATCTTCCATCTGGAAGGAGGCTGTTTAGTTCTGCGCAACTCAGAGAGGGAACAACCCGCGGTGCCTCCACAGACCAGATCTCTGGACCACAGACCTTCAGTACTGAGAACAATCTGAAAAGATACTGGAGGATTAAAAAAATATATTTGAACCATGAAGCGCGGACTCTGCGGACTGCCACTTATTCACCTTTTTCTAACCTTTCCACTCATCATTGGATCACCTTACCAATATAACATGTTCCAGGGCAACGCGTATTCTGGCTCCGACGCACGACAGAGAAATAAGTGAGTGATGGGTGTCTGTTAAAGTTTATTTCATGTTCGCATGTTAACAAAATGCTCATGTATTTGATGACTGATTTAAGTGTGGCTTTTATCATCCGCTATGCGTAAATATAAGCGTTTTGTCTCAATGTGGACAAGTAATCCAATACGCGCCGCAGGATAGATTAACCGGTGGTTTTCTGCAGAAACTGGTGCGCCTACGTTGTGCACAAGAACGTGAGCTGTGCCGTCGTGGGAGGCACGGAGAGTTTCGTGCAGCCGGAGTTTGTACCATGTCCACCGGAGCTGCCAAACTGTGCGCAACAAGTGATGTAAGTTCCCAGAAGTCCAGAACAGTGGGTGGAGGTCTTTGCTTTTGTTAGTATTTTTAACAATATGAGGTAATACTGTTTTTTGTTACACTGGCAAATGTTTTTAAATGACTTTATTAGATTTTTCTTATGTTGCTGGTTTCTCAAACACCCCCCTGTGTTCTTTACACTTCTTTTATTTGAATTGTAGAATAGATTCAGGATAAAACCTTTACATGCATTATTGAATCTGCATCATTCTTTCATAATTACAGTGCACTTATTTACCTTTGGTGTTTCTTAAAATTAATATTAATATAGATTATTAGATTTCTTTTTCTAAGAATCTTGAAAACATGACTTATGAGGCAAAAAAACCTGATTATCAGGCATCTGTGTTGAATCTTAATGAATGGCAAACATGGACTACATTACTTTGTTTTGCTTCAGTGTTCATTGAGCAACAAACACACTTGTGAGATGTAGTTAATCATCGGGTGGCAGGGCCAAGTCGGCCAACACTCTCCTCATGAGTGGTGTAAAAGTCTTCAATCACTTCCTGCCAACTGAATGATTCATTAGTTGCAAACTTGACTGGTGTTTATCTTGTCAACAAACAGATTTTATCATCCAAGTTAACATTGTATTCTGGAGAAAGGGAGAGTTGCACAAAGTTGTCAATTGAGCATCTAATGAGCAGGATAATTATTTATATTATACAATGGCGCTATTGTAATTAAGTGTATTCATATTTATGCGTTAAATGCTTCCAGATATCGGACCCACTTTAAGCCCACATATAAGATTGCATACAAGACTGTGACAGAGCTGGAGTGGAAGTGCTGCCCGGGCTACCAGGGCCACGACTGCAGGGAGGTGAAAGACCTAAGACTACTCCAAGTAGAGCGTTTGCCTCATGCTCCCTCTGCCTCTGGGCATGTTCCAGTCCAACAAGGTGAAATACATGATTATAACTGTGGAAATCCAACTTGAAAATATGTGAAACATAATTAAATAAGCAAATAACTGCTGGATTAAAAGTATTCTTGTATATTCCTGTTTCTCTCTCCGTTCTTGTTATAGCTCCAGAGCAGCAAACACAGGGCCAGAGGAACCATCCATGGAGAGGGGAGGGGCAGTTTGGAGGTCAGACAGGTCACAGGCCACAAGGGGGTCATGGAGAATATCAAAATGCACACCTGGAGGAGGAGGTGCAGCGACTGTCCCAGATGGTCCTTGACATGCAGGCAAGAATGACAGATATGTCCTCCAGTCTGAGACTGGATTTCCAGGAGGACGCCAGTAAAATGCTACTTACGCTGCTGAATAACGTTAGACAGCCTGCCAGTGCGAGGGGTGCCGAGACCCAAAGCATCCAGGTGCAGGACTTCTCATTTGCGCTTGAGACAACGCAGATGGATGAGGTCATGAACAAGATCAGCCAGGTAACAGACGATCTAGAGTCCAAGAGCAATACCCTGGAAGACCTGCTGGGCCGTGTCAACCGCCATGACGGACAAATTCATCTGTTAATGGAGGCTGCCCAGAACCAGCTGTCCACACCCCCTCCTGCTCCCCCAGCCAGTGACACAGACCTGCGTGGCTACCTGGACGAGAAGATACGCGTGCTGAGAGAGGAGTTAATGGAGGGCATGGACATCAAACTGGCAGACTTGAAGAACTCGTGCGATTATAAAATCCTGTCAGTTCGGGAGCAGTGTGAGGGACAAGAAGCCAACTACCTCAGCCTTGCCGAGCTCATGGACTCAAAGGAAACTGACCTCCGCAACGAGATTCAAGACCTGAAGACCAAGCTGGTTGATCCAGGAAAGGAAGACACACGGATATCTGACTCTGTTCTGGCTCATGTGGAGAACCTTGAGATCCGTTTGAACTCTTCTGAGAAGACTTTAGCGGCCCAGTGCCTCTCTGTGGAGGAGAAGCTAAAGATTGAACGTGCAGAGGCCATCAAAGACCTGAAGGAGACTCTGGAGGACAGGCTGGTCGCCATAGAAGACACACTCACCAACTCCCCATCTGGTGGTCAGCCAGAGAGTCAGGATGCTCTGCAAAGGGACGTTAACTCTCTAAAGGGCTCGGTTCAAACTCTGGAGGATAGATTTGATGTCTTGGACCAACTGTGCTCAAAGGAGTGCAAGGCTAATTTGACTGTCGTAGAAAACATTCAACAAGACTGTAGGACAGCTGTAGATGCTATGGAGAGGAGCCTAACAGCCAAGATAAATGACCTTGGAGCCACGGAGGGGCCACTCCTTAACTACAGCACTAGCATTGAGAACATACATGGCGAGTTGGGCTATCTGAAAGGACGTGTGGGCAGGTTGGAGGACTCTGTATCAGATGTAGTCCATCAGCAGTCTCAGACCTTGCAGAGTCTCAACTCTACCTGGGGTCAAGTTAAAACAGGGGCTGAGCAAGAGGCCAAGGACCTTTTGGAGCTCCACAGGACTCAGCAACAAGAGCTGAGAAACCGGCTGGAGGAGCTTGGCAGGGAGGTGAAAGCCGAGGCTGACCACTGCAGAGAGCAAACAGAGGATGTCGGGAAGGAGATTGCCCACATTGACAGCCGCATTGTTAGTGTGGAGGGTTTATGTGGCAAGCTGGACCCCATCTCCAGTAGTCTCCAGAGGATCAAAGAGGGTCTGAACAAACATGTTACCGGGTTGTGGACTTGTATCAACCAGCTGAATGGTACAGTTCGAGCTCATGCCCGAGATATTGGAGGATTGAGGGGAATTTACCAGAACCTCGAGAACCACGTCTCTAATGTTGCCAGAGACCTTCAGGTGCTAACGAACAGCAATCCTGGGAAGACAGGTAAGGTGTAGGTAACGTGACGCAAACATAAAATGACTCTTTTCATTGCCTTGAAGTGTGAGAGATTACCTCATTGGTGGAAGATAGTTGTACATGCATCACTCTAGTGCAAGGCTGCCAGAAAAAGGCATCATGAAAAAATGGTAACACCTGCACACTTACTCACTGCCACATGATTAATAACAACGTTGCAATCCTAGATGAATCTTCCTCAGGTCAGTTATTACTTTGTTCCCATGATACAGAGATTTAAAGCAACACTATACAACTTTTTAAAGAAATAACATTCCTTGTTACAAATGAAAAGTTTAACCCCTCAGTAATAAAATACACTCTTGTTCAAGTCAGTACACTCAAGGGTTTTGCTACTGAAGCCTTACTTGGTGGGCTAATGTTACTGTATAACAAACATTACGTACTTGATTCACTGACCATGACTATTTTCTGATTGTCCCACTGGCTTTTCCATGTGATGCTGACGTTGCTGCTAATTAGCAAAAGTTACATAGTCTTGCTTTAAACCTTTTTTTTTTTCAGGTTTATATCAGTGTGAGTCTGATTTATTATCCACAGAAGTTTAAATAGTCGAAGCTTAAGATCAATCCAAATAGCTGTAATATTTCCCAACCCTTTAGATCATTGCTTGGACTGTAGCCCATTTGTGTATCACAGGCTGGCCGTGTTATTGGGGAGGTTGCAATATTGGAGTGTGTTTGAGTGTGTGAGTGAGAGGAAGTTGGATTTTCATTTAACCATGTTCTCAGTTAAAGGAGGCAGGGTTGATTGAAGACACATGCTTGATTTTAATAGACCCCACTTGTGTTGAGCAATGCCTTGGCATAAAGAAATATTGCTCATTCGGCTTTTTTGTGCATCCAAGTTTGCATTTATGTTTAGATTTGCCCATAAACTTGTATGTATGTATAGTTTTTAGGGTGTAAAGTGTGTGAGCAGTAGCGGGATCTTGTTCACCTGTAGTTTATCTTGTGGATCTTTAGCTATTTGTTCATCTTTAATGCTGGATATTATTCTAAGCCTTGGTTTTGTTATTGTAAGCAATTTTGAAAGTATAGATTTTCATATCGGTGCATATGTTGCATACTTCTTCTATGAGTCTGCTCATTAATGGTACCTATGAGACCGAGCTGGACTCCTCTGACTCTCACAGTTGTAAATTTGAACTAGAAGCACGCCCATAATGTTTACGAGCCGAGTCTCTTCCTCTGGGACCAGCTAGTTTTCAGTCACTGCTTTATGGGGCAGGTGATGCAGCATATGACCCAGTCCAGAATCTCATGGGAGGGGAGCTGGAATGAAATAGCCCCAGTTCTTGTTCTGGTTCAAGTCCAAGTCAGACCAGAGGCTTTGCATCCTTGTTTAAGTTTTTGCAGATTCATATCTGTAGCTCAGAGATGCTAGTTCGTTCTCAGTTTTGCCAAATACTGAATCAGTGATGACTATTGCCACTCCACCCCATGGCTGCTCTCATAATATGACATTTAATTCATCATTCTATCATTGGGACGCTCTGCAAGTGGGAGCACAATTATTCACCATTTCCACTCATGCGCAGCGATGTTACCGGGACCATTTCGACCACTCGCTTCTGTATAAACTTTGTTTGTCTTTGCGCTGCCAGCGGCCTCATCCTATTATCTCCTTCCCTGCTTATCTGAAGAGACTGGAAAATGCTGCTTGGAGGAGTCCATGACAGAGAGATCTCCACACGGCTTATCACTCAGGGACCACTCATGGGCGTCTTTATTTCAGAGCCCAGAGCTCCAGTGTGTTTAGATTAGGTGCTACTGGATCAACATTTATGTCACCCTGTTTCTCACACTTTTTTGTCTCCATCTGCAGTTTTCTCAAATTTTTTAAACTTCATGGCTGAGTTCCTTTTCTGTTGGAGTAAATAGTGTGAACGCTCAAAGCTGTACCAGGCTCCCAAGGGCTACTTGTCCATGTGTTTACCATGATGTCATACCGGCTGTTAACCTTAAATGAGAGGGTCGGGAAAGGGACGAAGAGAGATACAATATGTCATTCTTTAAGTGTTTCTGTTGCTTTCAGTGCATACTAATCATGACATTTTCAATTTAATTTATTACAGCTTGCTGGCACAATATGAAAGAAATACATAAGCCACTGAGATTTAGCTTAAAAACTTGCTTCTTCTTTCAACAGTGGGACACATATGCTGTGTCAAATTGGTACCACTTTCTAACAAGGCACCATTTAAAAGTTGTTACTAATAGCTTTTTTAATAGTTAATGAACCATTTATGCTTTATAGATAAGTTACTTCTGTGTTGCCAGGTTATAAAAATCATTTTTGTAAGGTAAGAATGCGGTTATAAATGTTTATAATCTGTTAATAAATGTGTGTGTTTTCTAATAATCCATCAAGTCTAGATTTATACTTCTTAATAAATTGTTAATAAAATGATTTGGTCCAGAAAATCTGCAGGGTAGGTAGGTGGTAGCTATTTAGTTCACAGGGAGGTTAACTAAACATCTATCTAAAAAGATAAATCAAGTGTCCTCCTAGAGGAAGATAAACACCAAATGGATAAAATAACTTTTCACAACATGGCAACCCAAAGTCCCCTTTCTTATTAATGGTTTATAACTAATGTATAAAGTATTACTACATAATTTATTAATTATGAATAAAGCCATTAGTTAGAACATATAAACACTTTTACTTTGACAAGAATTACTTATTAGAAAGTTGTACAAAAAAAACAACGTCCAGTTCGTATTTTTTTCATCCACGACAACTGAGCAAAGACCTTAAGATGTGTCTCCTTATTGTTATTGTGTCTGGCTGCTGTTTGAAAAACTCGATAGATAATTGATGCCCTCCAAAATTACCAGTAGTCACATACACTGCACAGTGCCACTTACTAAGTTTGTTAGTGTAATCCCTTTACTTGCGTGAAAGCACATTCTTCTCATTGTGTTTGACAAGGTAGTCAACTTAAAACCGCATCATAGACGTCTATTATGAGGGCATTTTGAGATAAGAAAACATGCTTTCCTGCTCCTCAGTGGTCAAGCTGGTAGGTTAATGACCTATGAGAGATAAGGCAACTTGTAGGATGACGCACTCAAACATGATAACCCCATGAACCAAAAACAAGATGGGACCTGACAGAAAGCCCTCAAGAACAATAAAGCCTGCAGCATCTGCTGGCTGCTCGTTGTATACCATCATCCCGACAGAGTAGGTGTCACATTATCTGACGTAAGAAATTTTGCCTTTTTATCTTCTGAGCTCTAAATTCTGGATTTATTGATTTCTAAATCAAATCTCTTAAGAGCCCAGTGAGTTTTGGCTAACAATGACTCATAAAGTCAACATGCGCCAAATTGCTGTGCAGTCATTATTTTGTGGTATGTAATGCAGAAAGTGGCCATACTTGTGACACAAGGGGCTGTTGTATCCTCAAACTGGAAGCAGGAAGGGGGGAGGCGGTGTAAGTGACTTACAACAAAGCGAGGGTTTCCCATGCTGCTTTGGCGGAAAGATGCAAATTTGTGGTCGGCAGCAGATCCAGCTGCATTTGTTTACATCTCACCTCTTTTATCGTGACAACACTCTCGCATACATACATAAATCCTGTGTTTGCCTCTTTTATCCTTGTGGCACTGGGTCTGAAATCTGAATCGGCCCCATCAAAGCCTCCTCGCTGGAGGAGCACATACTTGGCTTTATATGAGGAGTGACACGACTAACAAACGCAGACCAGTGAAACACACGCACATGTGCGTATACGCAGACTTTACCCCCCTGTGCTGTTTTACGGTTGCACACCGGTTCCTCCCCATATGTTGTGTTTAACAGGCAGACGTTTCTGGTCTCTATACTAAATTACCCTTTTTCCCCGGGGTGAGGGGACAAGCTGTCTGGTGATTGAACATGTGGCCGTGCCTTTGGTATGTTGCTGGTATGCCTTTTATGTGCTGGTTTTACTTTTGGAGCAGCAGAGTTGGGGCCTGTTGTCTCAGCGTACACCAAAGGGTAACAGCGACTATGTGCCCCCAGCCAGGACGGTTGATTGGTTGATAAACTCTGCGGTTCGTCTCAGAGGTGGTTCTCAGGAATGCAGCGGTACATGTAGTTCAGAGCTGATCACCATATGATGGGAGATGGGGACAGTGGTCTGTCATTTTCTTGGTTTATGTCCATAATAACAGGCTCAGATAATAAGTCACTGTTTGGCCGTTAATGAGAGTCAACGGTAGCCCTGCCATCAACATAAACACAATTACATGTTTCTTCTAGTAAAAATGAAAGTGAAAAAGTGGAAATACAACTTAAGATCAATCAATATATGTTGGTACAAACAGGTAATTTCAAAATCTGAAACTTCAAATTATCATCAAATTACCCTGTGGAGTACTTGACAGAGTCATCAAAATGAAATAAGAGAAGCCCTTCAGTCAATACAACTATTATGAAACCTCTAATTTCTTTTGTGGTATCAATTTATTTTAAAATCAACTATATATTTTTAGGCCGTAGTTTGCAGTAGAGTTGTACTGGAGTCACGGTGGGGTGGAATGACAATGAAAAATTTGTCTGCTGTCAAGAGAAAATGCGGTAAATAGAGTGTCTCTGCTTGCATTAGGCCAAGACGAAGTACAGGATAAAGTCTTTAGACACTTTAGACAGATATTTCTATCATATATATTGATAGTGAAGTTGAGATTGTACCCAATTCCCCTGTCAGACACAGCTAGGGCAGCCCCTAGTGCTGTTGGGTCCTATCTCTAAATAATTCCTTATAGAAATACTTCGTCCTGTTTCAGCTCTGTGAGCGTTAACCTGTTTATCTTTCGTCTGAATAAATCTTGCAAACCTGAATCTTGATTTCCTTGCAAGCATCTCTTGTGGCTTTTTTTTTCTTGCATGAATATAATTCTTTAAACTTGACGTGGTCTTTACACTTTCTGGTCATGTGCGCCCCCCTGCAGTGGCCCTACCCCCAGTTTGAGAATTACCTATATTTGTAAGGTTAAGTTTATGGTTACACTTACCTCTTTGTATTATAAGCTATACATCTTATTTTGGCCACCTCTCATATGTCTACACAAGACAACCAACTCATGAGGTGGACATTGCTTCACTAGACTTTTCTTACAGCAGACTCTTGAACTTGTCATAGCAAGAAAAAGCGCGTGCACTGTATTAACATTAATGGTTACATTTCGACATGTGAGACAAGAGACAAGATTTATTACTGCGTATAATGACAGTAGTAGTTATAGTGGTGAGGTTTAAAAGTCGCCATGTAACCAGCTGGTTTGTTAACACATCTGACCTCCAAACATCTGGCCCTGCATCTGTCTCTCTCTGACCTGCAGCCTCAACCCCATCGCTCACTACCTTATCTGTCTTTTTCAGGTGTTCAGGTTGCCGTGGAGGACGCAGGACTTCCCCAGGGTTCGAGTAAGAGCCTCCCGGTGCCGGTTGGTCCCCTGGATGCCTCCTTCCCACAGCCACCTGTGATCGAGACCGGAGAGGCGGGACCCCCAGGCAAGATGACCTCGTCCAAGTTGCCCAAGGGGGCCAACGGTAGCATGATGCCCGTTCAGGGTTTTGCTGGAGCTCCAGGTGAGACACACCTACATGTACATTCTGCTCTGCATGTTTTCCAGCATTACTTCATGTGTTTCATCTTTTTGTTTTATGTCATAGCGTCCCCCCACATCAAATCTGCTGACTCGCTCAAGCCTGACACGCCACTCATCATAGGTAAATACAACTTTACTGTTTTTGTGCTGCATGACAACTGAGCCTGTCAGGAGTAAATGAAACAAGTTTTCTTTCGGTCAACAGATGTGAGCATGCCCCCCAGACCTGCCCCACAAAAACCTTCCCCAGCCTCAGGTTAAGAGTTTATTCATTATACAAGTTCCTGTCTCTGTTAATATAATGTTTGTTAGCCTGTGACGTTTCCTTTCCTGTGCTCAGGTGAGAAGGTGTCGTTCTCAGCTGGTCTGACTCTTTCACCGTTCAAGGGAGAGATTGGGATCATTCGATTCAACAAGGTGTTGGTCAATGATGGAGAACACTATGACACTAACACAGGTAATTATTACTACAGTCTAACTGGCCCAAACAGTGAAGTATAAACCACAAAATACTTAAAATATGAGTCTGATTCAGTCCATTAAAAAGCAGCAAATGTTCACCTCTAAAATGCTGAAACCAGTAAATGTTTGACATATTTGCTTCAGAAATTGCTTTAAGAATTAATAGATGATAAAAATGTGTCAGTTTGTTTACTATGCTTTAAGGAGTTTTTAACTGGTTAGGAAACATTCTCGATTTAATACTGATGCCTCTGTATGACCATAAGCACAGCAGACCACCAGCACCAGAAGACTGGCTTTTTCTGTGTTGTTATTCTTAACACATGCCACCTGGTCGGATTTGTTTTTGTCAAGAGAGGTGGCCAGAATCAACAAAAAGTGTTGCTGCTTTAAGATATGGTTACCGAAATAGTTACACCAGTTCTTCCAGACTGTTTTCTTTGGCTATAGATGATTATGAGATATGTAATATTGTTGGTAATCATGATTCTGTGAGGCTAAATCCTTTTACTTTACTCTAAATGTGACCATAATTGACAAAAGGAACATCGTGTTACTTGAATCTAGCGATTGAGACCATCAGCTCATTAGGAAACTGTTTACTGATTGGTCATTTGGCCATAAGAGTCCATCGTATCTGACTTGTCTTTTTGCAGCCCATGGAGCTGCCCCCTGCTGGCCATTACATACAATGCATGTTTAAGACACTTCTGCTTTGGCTTCATTTCATAGACACGGAAGCTTTGTCCACTAATTATATACTCTCATTGAATTGCAACCTCCTCGTTTCAAGGGGAATCCGACTGTATCCAACCTGGTGGCAGGCAGTAAGAACTATAAAGAAATAACCGATCTTTTCGCTGATGGTCCAGTGTGTTTATGTAGGTCAGGCGCTACAGGAAGTCAGGGGAGCATTAAAATCAGTAGGATGAGACCTCTGGGGACCATAAATGTTTGTGCAAAATTTCATGGGAACCCCTCCAATAGCTGTGAAGATATTTTAGTCTGGACCAAAGTGGTGTCTCTTCGGGAAAGAACTTGTGTATTAAGAGCATCTTGCTGTGTCCTCAGGTATCTTCACAGCTCCCACGGATGGCCGCTACCTGGTGACCGCTGTGCTCACGGCCCAGCGAGGTGAGAGGGTCGAAGCGGTCCTATCCGTGTCCAATCGCAGCATCCAGAAGTTGGACTCGACTGGCTTCTTGTCAGGGGTAGCAGCACCGCTGTCACATGATCAATGTAACTGCAGCAGCTCAACCTCGCTAAGTCTGATCCTGTCCCTGAGGAGAGGAGATCGAGCCGGACTTGTCCTGAGCGCTGGAAAACTCGCCATCTCAGCTTCCTCTGAGATCCTGTCATCTTTCAGCATTGTGCTTCTTTACCCCAGCCCGTCAAAACGGTAGCCCTGCCCTTCTTAAAGACAACTGACACCTTATGTAAGCCATAAGTGGTGTATGGTGTCCATTATTGAGGATGCAGCCCACTAATAGTGATTTTATCAGAGGAGAGGAAACTATTTACAGAAGGAAAAAATAAATAAAAACACAATACAGTCTCCCAATAATGAATCAGATTATTTCTATCATGAGTACTAATATATAGTGTGTTTACATTGCAATTATTTTATATTTTATATTGTGAAGTTTTGTTTCTTACAAATACATATTTCACTTGAACATTTAATTATTGTCCACTGCAGCAATCTGAGTTTCTTCCTTAATATTTAAAAACACATTAACTAATTAATGTTAATTAATTAATTAATCTTTAGTGCTAAAATTTGAGTTCCAGTTGATCAATTTAGTTAATAACTGGACAGATATCAGTTTCTCAGAAAGACAAAAAAAGTTCTTGTTGATACTCAAACTGTCAGTGTGCAAAACAAGCTTTGATTGTCGTTTCAAATATATATATATTTTTGTATTAAAGCATCATCCAACATAGGACATTTGATTTAACAGTTTATTAATACAATATATATAGTAAATACACTATTATACACAGTTTATGTACAGCAGAGCTACAGTTATGACACTATAAAAATCTAACCTCTCGCACTGACAAATAAAAAGCAGATCAAACGATGAAAGATGAATGTATTTGTCAAAAACATAATCCAAAACATACTTTGTGCTTACATTGTTAACGTCGTAACAAAGTCATGCAATCACACGTCTACAGAAAACACTTCAAGCAGCAGAACTGGGAAAATACTGTGTGTTCACACAAAGTTTGTCACTTTCATAGAAAGAATACAACAAATATTACTGACGGCTGTTACTCCGCAGAATCAAAACAAAAACAGGCGGGAACATTAACATACTGTAGTTTTCACGATGGTTAAATCATTTCTGGCAGAAAACATCAGCAAAGATTTCAAAATTCATCAAAAATACTTTCCTACCGTAAGTCTCTAGTTGATTTTGGAAAAATACTTATATATTATGTATATATGATACCAAATAGCAGCAGTATCTACAGCTCAGAAAGTGCTTTCTTAAACTTGAGCCGAATCCTTTCACATTCTTTTCTCCCTAGCATAGTGGTGTAAGATTTCTACACATTAAATAAGACTGTTACAGTGCGAATAAGGCCTTAAAGGAATGAAAACATAGCTGCTATAAATATTTATTTGTATTTTTTATGGTAGTTCTCAAGTCAGAAAGAGAAAGACGGAGGCCAGTCTCAGCACAGTTATTGTACCTTTACTGCCTAAATTAGAGCTTAGGCAGTATCTTCTCTGTAACAAGTGGTACAAACAACGACTGATACGTCATACTTTATGCTTTTGTGTATGCCAAAAGCTGACAGAGCCTTCAAGCGCAAAGAAAACTCTGCAAGTGCATGAAGGGAATTGGTCCCCAATGAGAGGATATGGAATACAATAATATACCAAAATGTTTTGTCTAAGATGATATTAAACTATTCCTTGCCTATAAAACTGACATTTACAAAGACTTATTGGTATTAATCCAGTGCATACAGTCGTGAAATAAGTTACATTGATTTCAAGTAATTACACATTAATATCAGTTAAAGCAGCTCCTCAAAACACACCTCAGCGATGGGTTGTTTCCAGAAACAGAAGGAGCTGAACTCTGGGCAGCTGAAGGTGGCGCTGTGTTGTGAACTTCGTAAAGGGAAAACATGCTCCACCAGCTCACTAAGTCGGCTGTATCTGTAAATCAAAAACCAGTGGTGGGAACAATAAATATCTGTCTGAGAGACACAAACAATGACTCCATTGATGGTTCAATACTCACGATGTTTTATTGCCTTTGGCTTGCTCGAGGATTAACTCCCCTTTGGGATTCACTGTGAATATCCGGCACACAGGCACACCCACTTGCTTGTAGGCAAACACGTCCTTAAACACAGGGAAAAAAGACAATACAAGTTATTTTCTGAGTCATGGCATCTAACTAAACATACTCTTGGAGATTGGTAATCCTACGGTTTTCATACAAATATAATATGTTGTGAAGGAAAGCTTGTGACAGTGAGGAAATGTGAAACTTACACTTTCTCTGTTTCCAAAGGCTGCATAGAAGGGATTTGTGTTTGGGAAAAACAGGTTCTTGATGTCGGTGAGACATTCGATCTTGAACTTCTCCGGCTTTTTTTCTATGACCTCTCTAAACAAGGGAAAGAGAGGAAGAGTTAATTTACTAAATGGGCCACAACTACTACCCAAAACTGGCTATCATTTATAAACATTTACAGAGTTTACATGTATCCAAAATGCACAAAACCAGTGCAAACACTCTCTGCATCAATTTCAGATTTTTGGTTTTTAAAAACTGAATCCTGCTCTTAACAAGGCAGGATGAGCAGTGTTCAAACTATTTAAATTCCAGCAAAGCAAACGAAAGACAAAGCAGAGTTACTCAGTTACATAAATTACCTCTAAAAATAGACATACATACATGCTCGATCTGCACTGTAATTCATTTGCTGGAAGACTAGCAGCTAAAAGTGCAGATAAACATCTATAACTTAAGCAGACTGTAAGCAGAAGCTTAGAATAAAAGTTTTTTTTTTTTTAACCTGTGGAAGGCCGAGAAGAGGCTGCTGGGGGAGAGCATGAGGGGTCCTTGAGGCAGGAGAGTCCCTCGGTCGTTCACCCAGTGCAGATATCCTCGGGTCATGTCAGCCATGCCGATTGCTCGGGCCGAACAGTACAGGAACTTGTAACCATTCCTGTAGCAGTCAGATATTCATTAATGGATGAAATATTTTTATTTAACTGGAGCCACCTCACTGTTATGCTGACAAAACAGTTATCGTCATCTGTGTCTTACTCGTGTACGGAGTGGTAAAGCTTAGCGATTCCTTGATGAGTCCAGTCTTTCCCGAGCTGAGGCAGAATCTGACCGAACACATCTGATCTGTGGGAAGAAAATGATCAGAATATATGGCGAATGAGACAGTGTTATTTCTGCCTGAGGGTAAACACAATATAATGGAAAAAGAGGACATTTAGACTTTCTCATACTTGGTGATGGTGCCGTCGATATCGGAGATTATGACCTTGTCGTCCCAGTTCCACAGGTAGATGGTGCCCTCGCAGCGACACGTCCCCTGGTACTGGGTGGTTATGCTGAAGGTGACATCATTAGGCCCCTCTCTTAGCTTCAGGCTGGCCTGTAAGAGACACAAGATAAGTAGAGTTTAAAAAGAGGACACCGATTTAGCATCACAATGCTGTAACATTGCCTGACTCATGATGGACGTGTAGAAAGTGAACTACCTTGTGTCATCCAAAGATACCAAAAGACTATTAGGATTTATCCTTCATTGGTTTTACTTTGGTTTCCTGGAAACTGTTCCTCTGTCTTATTTGTACGTCACCCTGTCGATGCTCTTTGTCCTGTTTCTTGTCCACGTGCTTGCTTGTTTGGACAGTTTATATGTGCTAAGTGTGTGCTACTTATTTTGTCATTTGTCTATGTTAATGCATCTGTTTCTGTGTCCTGTTTTCATGTAATTCAAGAATTGACTCACTTTTTAAGTGAATAATGGGCTCTTACCACACAATACAAACATACTAAATAAAATAAAAGCTCTTCTCTTGCTGACCCTTTTCAATGGGCTTCAGAAAAACGGCTGATAATCTGCCTAACTTTAGCCGCACTGCCAGTATCAGCGATCACTTACTATCTGGTCAGACGACAGGCGGAGGGACTTCTTGTAGGAGTGACAAGGCACCGGGGCCGGTCCTTCAGTCTGCACATGCTCAGTAGGTGTCAGAGCAGGTGCCACAGCGTCCAGCTCTTTAGTCTCATCGTCACTAGACCACTCTGCTGCTTTCTGCCTGTAGGAGAGAATACAGCCTGAAGTGAGACCAGCAAACAATATCGACCCATTGTGCGTTTAGTCTGAGAAAAGGTGATCTGCAATGGTAATTGATTTTCCAACTAATATATTAAAATAGGAACAATAACAAGACATAAAGCCATATTTATACTGGTTTGTGATTCAGGGTCAACCAAAACGAACCCTGCAGAATCATTTAGAGCCACCAGAGGGCAGCAGACGCCCTAATCTGCCTGTACAGTAACTCTGCTTTGTTTTACAGTAAATATGCAGCATGTTTTTATTCTCTTATTTGAGACGACAACTTACTTACTACTTACTTACATACTAATCTCTAACAAAAAGGTAAAACTAGAATCAGCCTGGTTCAAACTGTATTTAAAGTCTTTCTTCTGACAGCTTAATGGTGAGTTTATGAGTCATAAAAAAGACATCACTGCTGGCTGACTAACATGCTAATCCAGCCTCTGTGGGACATGTTTACCCAACACTGCTTGTGTTGGTGTGTGACTGTAGTGTTGTGAGGAAGCCAGAGCTTTGTTGCTGACTCACTGTGTTTCTGGGGCCTGGTGAAGGGCAGGGCTCTCGCTGGTCAGGGACTCCTGCCTCTCTAACTTGGTCTCTGATGACAACTGACCAGAAGAAGAGAGAGTATTAGCTTTCTATGAGATAAACATCTCGAGTTTAAAACCAGAGGTATGACATAAAGGTTCTTTCATAGTTCTTCACAGTCTTTACGTAATAATGCAAAACAGGCGTGTGATGGTTAGTGACACATTTGGGCTACCTCTTCCTCATTATCTAGACTAATTTACAATGCAAACTCCTACAAGCAGTATGGTATTCCCACTGACTGACACTACAGTGTAAACACACAGATGGAAGTGTCACTTTCCCTAAAGACTTAAGGCTGAGTCACACTGAGTCAGTACCTGCTTCACGCTGCTCTTTCTCCAGAACCACCAGCGTCCAGACTTTTTGGGCATTTTCTCCTTCACCCAGGCCTCCTCTGTAGCCTGCCATTCACATAAATTATTCATGTTTAATTATATATATATATATATATATTATATATATATATATATTTTTTTTTTTTTTTTTTTTTTTTTTTTTTTTTTTTTTTTTTTTTTTTTTTTTTTTTTTTTTTATTATTTATTTATATATATATATATATATATATATATATATATATATATATATATATATATATATATATATTTTATAATAATATATATATATATATTTTATATATATATTTTTTTATATATTTTTTATATATATATTTTTTTATTATTATTTATTTTATATATATATATTTATATTTATATATATATATATATATATATATATATATATATATATATATATATATATATATATACATTATATATATATATATATATATATATATACATTATATATATATATATATATATAATGTGCAGACACACTTTAGAGGTCAATGACTACAGTATAAAACTCATTAGACCAAAAGAATACCTTTGGCAAGTTCTTCTGAAAGGCCTGCATACTAAGTATCAACGGTGCTGCCAGTGTCCAGTTATAATACCTGAGGGGGAAAAAAGAGGGTTTTTTTTAGCTGTAATGTGCACATCATGTAATTACATATTAATGAGTCACATATTAAACTGTGGAAGACTCACCTGTTTGCAATTTTAACAACCAAATTTGGATTGTCGATTATTGCTGGATTCTCTGCAAATTCATTGTAGGTGATGATGTGCTCCATGAATTTATCTGGATTAAATGGAACAAAAAAGCCTGATTAGAATTATTTATACATCCATTACAACACAATCAGTCTGCAGTATGGGGCCGTGAAGCAGGGTAGTCAAAATATGTAATGCAGCCTGCTTGTTTAATCCTTATAAACAAGGATTTTGAGGATTCACAAGTTCATTTATCACACAAGTAATATGATTAGTCAAATTCAATGTGACATGCTGGACTCCTAATGTGCTACAAGACTAATGTGAACAATAAGAATGAGAAAAAAGATAAAAATTTCAAGTTAGAAACTACTTTAGATCCTGTATTCTGTTTTCAAGTAGAAAAACTAATGTAATTTTGAGACAGTTATGAGAGGAAACATGTTGTATGAGTGTTACTGCTGCCACCAGAGATTTCTGGGTACCTTTAGAGATCTCAGAGTTCTCACCAACACCTCCACACAGCGACAGGGTGACATCAGGGAGGTCACCAGCAGAGTCAGACAGACACTCAGTGCCGCTGTCTGCTGCTGCGCTGCCAACAGACTGCGGCGACTGGGATCCAGAACGCCTCCCCATCTCAACCCAGTGTTTAGGAACCTGATCAGACTCACTGAACACACACACGGACAAACAGTCCAGTTTCACACAGCACAAATCACTGAGTTGCATGAATAGTGGCAGCCATTTCTACTGCACAATGATGTCAATTTTTGTCTTTACTGTGTGTACAGTTAGGGCTGGGTATCACCCCTCGGTATTTTTTGTATGAACCCAAATGTGGCGACATAGCAACATGGCAAGTACTGAAACTACTAAGTACCAAAAGTTGTACTCCTATTTAATTAAATAACCATAAATGAGGTCATATGACTTCACTCTGGGAAGATTTCCAGGTTTGTACCTTTTTGGGAAGTAGCGGGCAACAACATCAGGTTCAAGTGCATTCAGGTCATCCAGGTAAATATCTTCAGGCCCCTGATGCTGGCTCCTCTTCCTCACACCTTTAAGAAAGCCAAGACGAGACGTTTACTCAGAAATCTTTTCACTTCCTTTTCTTTTAACTTGTGCATGTGAATGCAGAGCGGCCCCAGACAGAATATGAACTCAGGCCTAAATAGAAACCACATCCTTCCTGTTAACATCCACTTAGCTGTAGAGTACGTTCATATAATCTGGAGGTTTACTCA